TCTGCATTTTATCCTTTATCCCAAGGAGACGCTTAAGTGTGTGTACATGTGTATATATACACACATATCTATGCTCCAAATGCAGAGCGCTGTCCATGCAGAGCAGTCACTTTGAGTCTGTATGTTTTGCAGGATGATGTGGGCAGCTGGAGCTGTTGCAGCCATGTCCAGTATTACTTTCCCAGCTGTAAGCGCACTGGTTTCACGAACTGCTGATGCTGACCAGCAGGGTAGGTTTTGTCCTAATACTTTGAGTTCTGGTCAAAGAATACTGTGAAGACAGACATGTCAGGGCGTAGTAATAGTGCTGGTCAGTCGGCTGACTGAATCTTGGCACCTGAGCATAGGTCACAAAATGTTAAAATCCAAGTTACTTGGCAGTTTTAATACACGCATAGCAAGTCCTTCTGGCACAGAGGGAAAACATTCAACAGGTCCCAACAGTAGCAAAATATTTAGCAAACTTAATATGCTGCTTATTTTCCTCACTTTTGACAGAATTTTGCTTAGCTGTCCAGGTTGCATACAGTGCTTTCTCTCCCGTGCGAGACACTGATAGCAAGGTTAGTGTGTATATATGCTGGTCTCTGAATGAGCATAGCATGGGAAGTACTACTCTGTGCCTATAGGGAGATGGAAAAAAACCTTGAATATACTACAGTGACAATTCCTAGTGCCACACCATTTAGAGCTGCTTTCCTGCTTGCATCAGTTTGAAGGTGGAGTAAAGTCTTACTGATCTGTTCATAATCCGTTAAAAGTAGTTAATTACACATGTATAATTATTGTATGTATTAGAGATACTACATCTCTATTAGAGATACTACATCTCTATATATGTATATAGAGATAGATAATAGCGTATTTTACTTTTCCCAGGTGTTGTTCAAGGGATGATAACAGGAATTCGAGGACTGTGTAATGGTTTGGGACCAGCACTTTATGGTTTTATATTCTATATATTTCATGTTGAACTGAATGAACTCCCCATGCCTGAATCACCATCAGGAGGTAGTGTGGTCACACAGTACCATTTACAACAGGTATTCTTCTTTTACTTATTAATTCCAAAAAAAGAAATTGGGAAGGGATCATGTGCCCACCAGTTCTTGAGTATGATGCTGTATTACCTTTTGTTATGCTAACTGTAAATGAAGCATGTAAAAAGAGGTTTTGAAATCACTCTTGGGGAGGGTTGTTGATCTGTTTGTTTGTTTTTAACTAGATGGTGTGGTTTAGTTTAACTTTCAAAGAGATACAACTGATAGTTACTAAAAGACAACTGATGACCCTTGTAAAGAGAATAGATTGAGGGAAGGATGGACTAGTAACTACAGCATCTCACGCTTCTCTTGTCTCCCTGACATTGTATTTACCTTTCACATGTTGCACGTTTTTGTTTTGTTGTCCTTTAGTCTTTTAACCAAGCTCTCTGTATTTTTTTAGTTCCTAATAGATATTACTTTGTTGAGGAAACTCAGCAGCAAGAACTTGCACTAGAAAAGGAAGTTGGCACACATTTATAAGAAGAACCGTATGCTCCCTCTCCCAAGTCTTAGGATGTAACATTCTTTTCACGTTTCTTCTAAAAGACTCCACATGGGGACAAATGCTGTATTGGCTAGTGTAGCAAGGAAAAGTTCTTCCCACTCTTGAAATTTATGTAATTAGCAAGTGTAGTCTGTTAACATGTGTCTAAAGGTTCATTAATACTTTGTGGTGTTACTGTTGTTGTTTTCAGAATTCTATAATTCCTGGACCCCCATTCTTATTTGGAGCATGCTCTGTGCTGTTGGCACTACTTGTTGCCTTGTTTATTCCTGAACACACGAACCTAAATGTACGATCCAGCAACTGGAAGAAACACTGTGGCAGCCATGGCCATCCCCACAGTCCACAAGCTCCTGGTGAAGCTAAAGAACCATTATTGCAAGATACAAATGTATGACAAAAATCCAGGAAGATCTTTTAGACTTTTTGTTTTTTCCATCAGCAGTTTGGGATACACATTCCAATTCCATCAAAAATGTAATTTCTTAAGGTAATCTTAAGAAGTATCTTTCTGCATGAAATTTGTAGGAATTTAAAAAAAAAAAAAAGGAAGTTTCTCCAAAGATGTTGCCATTGAATTAATAATTTGCTTTTAAAAACAAACTGTTACATACTTGTCTCTTGCCATGAAATACTGTTACTACTAAACTTTACACTCTAGTTCAGAGACAAAAAAAAATAGAGTCAAGGCATGAGCATGTGTCCTTCTGTTTCCTTAAGGTGGTGAGCTTTAATTCTAGTCATGCTAAGTCTCAATGAGACATACTAGCATCCACGTGGACCCATTCATTTTAATGTCATAAAATCTTGGGTCAGATGATTCAAAGCCTTAATGTAAATGTACTCAAGTAGGGAGAAGGTGAATTGGTATCATTTATTTTAAAAGTCATATGGCAGGTTTTTTTTAAGTTTGTACTAATATAAAAATCACATGAGCACGCTTGCTGAACAGTAAAAGTTATTTTTATGTAAGTGCATTTACTCTTTCTAATTTTTGAATAAACGGTAGTATCAAACACTTGTTTAAATATTAAGTGGGTGTTTTGAGCCTACAAATTTTAATATTGGCTCTAAAACTCTGCTTTCCTAAGTACCGTTTATTATACCACTATATTTCTGATGTTTGCGTAATCATAAAGGACCTCAAAACTTGAATACACAGACTGAAATATAAGCTGATAGCCTTGAATATGTCCGTGTGCTATATAGTGGCCTTTGAGGACTGTCACAGTAACCCTTTTGCATTACAGAGCTAATGTTTTAGTCCTAAATTTTCAGGACCCTTAGTACAGAAGAGAGCTTTATACAATTACTGATGTGAATTTCTCTAAAAGTGTATATTTTTGTGTCCAGTTGTATTATTTAAGTGTTCCTTTGTATAAATTTATGTATAAAGTATTGTATAGGTTTAAAATGTTTTCATCTTGTGGTTATTGCTTAATGCTTTTTTACCTTTGAACATTCACCATGGTTGACCAAGAGCAGGAAAAAAAAAAATGTAAATATACTGTTAATAAAGTTGAATATTTTAATGAATTTTTAAATACTTGTTAATGTGTCTTAAAACC